TCCAGGCTGAGGGACTGATTACCTCATACTCCTCCTCTCCTTACGCCTTCCTCTTTGTATTGGACTGATGAAGCCACTGTGTGGCGAAACGTTTCCTGAATAAAGATTCCATATGCTGCATAAGTGTCTCAATCTGGTCCTAGTGGCATTAAAAGACAGAGAAGGAAAGTAACCCCAGAGAGGGCTTTACCTGAAGTCCTCATGGAAGGGATTCTCTTCCAACACTACCCCAACCCCTTCTCCTCCTCCCCACTTCCAGATCCCATCCCCCAACTTCAAAAGGTAATAAAAATGTTTTTTTATATTTATAACAAATTGAACACAATTTGTTGTGTGTATGTAAAACTGAAATTTTTTTTAGTTCAAAAATTATAGGGGAATAAGTTGTTGAGTATACCTGGTAAAGTGTATGGTAGAGTTATTGAAAGAATTAAGAGTACGACGGGCAGTTGGATAGCAGATAAACAAGGAGGCTTTAGGAAGAGGGTAAGGTACCTAGGGATTGGCAGAGAGCATACGTAGTTCCTTTGTATAATGGCAAAGGGGACAAAAGAGAGTTCAAAAATTATAGGGGAATAAGTCTGTTGAGTATACCTGGTAAAGTGTATGGTAGAGTTATTGAAAGAATTAAGAGTACGACGGGCAGTTGGATAGCAGATAAACAAGGAGGCTTTAGGAAAAGTAAGGGGTGTGTAGACCAAGTGTTTACAGTGAAACATATAATAGGTGAACAGTATTTAGATAAAGGTAAAGAGGTTTTTGTGGCATTTATGGATTTGGACAGGGTGGATAGGGGGGCAATGTGACAGATGTTGCAAATGTATGAAATAGGAAGTAGGTTACTGAAATCAGTGAAGAGTTTTTACGAGGATAGTGAGGCTATGTAGGAAAGAGGGAGATAATTTCCCAATAAAAGTAGGCCTTAGACAAGGATGTGTGATGTCGCCATGGTTGTTCAATATATTTATAGATGGGATTGTAAGAGAAGTGAATGCTCGGGTGTTGGCAAGAGGTGTGGGGTTAAAAGATACTCTAAAACAAAGTGGGAGTTGCCACAGTTGCTCTTTGCTGATGGCACTATGGTTTTGGGAGATTCTGAAGAGAAGTTGCAGAGGTTGGTGGATGAGCTTGGTAGGGTATGTAAAAGAAGAAAATTAAAAGTGAATATGGGAATGAGTAAGGTGATGAGGATAAAAAATTAGGTGACGAAAGATTGGAGGGAGAGAGTATGAAGGAGGTGAATGTATTGAGATATTTAGGAGTGGACGTGTCAGCTGATGGGTCTATGAAAGATGAGATGAATCATTGAATTGATGAGGGGAAAAAGGTGAGTGGTGTACTTAGGAGTCATTGGAAACAGAACTTTGTCCATGGAAGCAAGGAGGGGAATGTATGAGCGTATAGTTATACCAACGCTCTTATATGGGTGTGAAATATGGGTGGTGAATGTTGCAGCAAGAAGGCTAGAGGCAGTGGAGATGTCATGTCTGAGAGCAATGTGTCGTGTGAACATAATGCAGAGAATTTGTAGTTGGGAAATTAGGAGGAGGTGCGAGATTACCAAAACTATTATCCAGAGGGCTGAGGAGGGGTTGAGGTGGTTTGGACATGTAGAGAATGGAACAAAATAAAATGACTTCGAGTGTATAAATCTGTAGTGGAGGGAGGGTGGGGTAGGGGTCAGCCTAGGAAAGGTTGGAGGGAGGGAGTAAAGGTTTTGTGTGCGAGGAGTTTGGACTTCCAGCAAGCATGCGTGAGCGTGTTAGGTAAGAGCGAATGGAGACAAATAGTTTTTGGGAAATGTGCTGTTGGAGTGTGAGCAAGGTATGAAGGGATTCAGGGAAACCGGCAGGCCGGACTGGAGTCCTGGAGATGGGAAGTACATAAGAACATAAGAGCGATGGAACACTGCAGAAGGCCTACTGGCCCATGCGAGGCAGGTCCAAGTCTCCTACCGGCTTAAGCCAATGCACCCAACCTAGTCAGGTCGGATCACATTGACTTAAGGGAGGAACACGGCAACCGACCTGGTAGCACAAGCTATCAGGTCTAACTCACACCCACCCACATCTACTCATGTATTTATCCAACCTATTTTTAAAGCTACACAACGTTCTGGCCTCTATAACGGTACTTGGGAGTTTGTTCCACTCATCCACAACTCTATTACCAAACCAGTACTTTCCTATATCCTTCCTGAATCTGAATTTTTCCAACTTAAAACCATTGCTGCGAGTCCTGTCTAGGCTAGATATTTTCAGCACACTATTTACATCCCCTTTATTTATTCCTGTCTTCCATTTATACACCTCAATCATATCCCCCCTAATTCTACGTCTTTCTAGAGAGTGCAGTTTCAGGGCCCTTAGTCTATCCTCATAGGGAAGGTTTCTGATACATGGGATCAACTTTGTCATCCTCCTTTGTATATTTTCCAGAGAATTTATATCCATTCTGTAATACGGTGACCAAAACTGTGCAGCTAATCTAATGAGGCCTAACCAAGGATGTATAGAGTTGAAGAACAACCTGAGGACTCCTATTATTTATGCTTCTTGATATGAAGCCAAGGATTCTATTAGCTTTATTGCGAACACTTATGCACTGTTGTCTTGGTTTCAGATTACTGCTAACCAGAACTCCTAAATCTTTTTCGCAATCCGTAATATTAAGATCTACATTATTTAGTTTATATGTGGCATGGTTATTGTCCTGTCCAACATTTAGAACTTTGCATTTGTCTATATTAAACTGCATCTGCCACTTCTCCGACCACTGCATCAGTCTATTCAAATCTTCCTGGAGTGCTCGAATGTCCTCGTCAGAATGAATTCGACGGCCTATTTTGGTGTCATCATGTCTGCACTCTGAAGGAGGGGTGTTAATGTTGCAGTTTTATAACTGTAGTGTAAGCGCGCCTCTGGCAAGACTGAGTGAATGACAATGAAAGTTTTTCTTTTTCGGGCCACCCTTCCTTGGTGGGAGACGGCCGATGTGCTAAAAAAAAAAAATAGGCAATACCAACAAGTTGCACGTATCTTATCATGGAAGATAATGGGATCAAACCTATTATGTCTCAGTGCTCGAGGTAAAGGAATGAGGACCTGATTTACAGTGATAAAGGAGGACGCCCTGTTAAATGTGGTATTTTGCTTAGAAGGGGTGTTGGAAAAGAAAAGTTGTCTAGAGCAATTGGTATTAATTGCTGGCTGGTCAAACACAATGGATAGCTTTGGAAAGCTTTTGGACAGGTTGAACAAGTATGTGGATGGGAATGGTTGGATCTGAAGACCTAATAGTATGGGCCAGGAGACCTGCTGCATCCTCCATTCTTTAGCTCTTACACCGGGATGTACAACAATCAGATTTACCCAAGTACAGTCAGCTGAGTGGCTGGGGCCAGTGAGATAAATGTGTGGGTGGGGGTGAACTGCGATATCGGGGCACTGCATTAGGCCTACCGGTCCTTTCGACGAATTTAAGATGAATTAGGCATCTGGTTCAGCTGATCGGAAAGCTCTTTTATTCTGTTGAATAGTATTTTGTGCTAGGGTTAGCGCAGTTTCCACGAATCTGCGTTGTGTTTGGTTTTTCGTTTCTTTTATGCCTTGTTGAGAGTTCTTCCAAGATGTCAGGTGTGAATGGAATGATTTCCAAGGTAAGCGGTGGTATTTTTCTTGTCATATGACCAGCTCAATCAGTGTAACAACTGGGGTACCTTTGTTTTTCACCTATTTAAATAAAAATAGTCATCTGTGTAATTGTAGGTGCAAGGCTATATTTAAAAATCTAAGTTGTCAATGTCTACTTTTAATTGATTCATCAAACGATACAATATATCTCGCAAAATCGGGGTGCGGCATTCAAGTACTCAGACGAGACGCCATCACCAGCATCCGGCACGCGGGAGATAGTGATGGAACATCAGGTAACCCTTCTCAGGGTAATAGAATTACTTGAGATCATTTTCTACCTAGCTGGCGCCAATAACTGACGACGAAAACATTGGCTGAGGGCGATGTGAAATTTCATCTTATTTGAGAGACTATATAATTTGAGTCACTGTACACTCATAACAAACTGCTAGCAGCAACAGTCTGGTGTTGACCGGGCAGTCAACACGGAAGTCGCTTCAGGCTGGGACACGGCGTAGGTAACCATTCCGCTCCCAAACATTCCAATGGAAGTCAATCATATTATTTTGCTCTGTTGGGTTTCCCCTAGGATAAATCTAAATCACTACTCTAAGCCTATCACGTGCTAACTGTAGAAATTTGAATCAGTAGGCCGTAAAAACACGTTATATTAAGCCTAAATAGTCATGGTTGTGGCAAGAGCCACGCATGGAAAGTTACCTGTAATAACAGGAGTTTCACAAATATTTAAAAACGTTCTGTAAAGACAAGTGTAAAAAATTTCTAATTGGACATTTGCACTCATTCCCCCACACTGTCCAGGTAGGACCTACATAATTGCGGTGGTACTCTGCATTAGTTAAATTTGAATAACAAATGCAGTATGTTAAAAAAAAAAACTGACGATTTTTATATTTTGTTGCTGCCTATGTGGTGCTCTCCCACTAAATTAGAGTTCCATGTTAAAATGTACTACGGGTAGGCATTCCAACCACCACCAAGTTGTTCCATAAACTTTCGGAATTGTTTCACAATTCTTGGTTCCTGAGTAAATTTGACGATATATGCCAAACTGTCGAGTTGAAACTAGCTAAAAATAAAATACATTGAGTGTGATAAATTATATTATTAATAAAATACGTTTTGAACTACATTAGTCCAGGGTAAAAGTGGTGATTTGTTACCCTTCAGGTAAGCAAGTTACCGTCTACCTGTTATACAGTACATGTGACTCATGTACATTTTGATCTCACGCACACATTTATTACACTGAAAGTGTTGTTGTTTGGACTGTGGGAAGACATGTACGAGATGGATAGTTATCCTGAGTATTCCTGCCACCTCGGGAATCTTTCTCTGGCTTACCTCTTCTTGAAGTTCACCGTCCCAAGACGAGAGGATAACCTTGAAGAGAGGAGCCTCCCTCAAACACGGGGGGATGCCACTCTTATTTTACACCATTTCAAGGGGTTATTTACAATGGATTTTTAATTTTACACATGGGATATATACAATTTAACCTTATATACTATGAAATATAGGTTTTGATCTATATCACTTCCAAACAACACCATCAAAGTCGATAACTGCTAGCATAAACACACACACACCTTCTCGCACTGTTCACAAGTTTGCACTGAGCTCTGCTGGTTATAGACTCGGGAACCTCTCTCTTCCTGGTAGTCACCTGCGCGCGCACTATACGATCCAATACTCTCTTCTCCTTAAAGTTGTATTATGTTCTCTCCGTTTAAATTTGTTAATTATATATGCATTAATTTGATATCAAGTTGTCGGCATTGTATAAGGACTAACAAGATATTATTTGAGGTGGCAATGGTTAATGGCTTTCAACTCAAAATTACTCGATTTTCATTTGTTTTGCTCTAGCTCTGTCTGTTGGATCATATGGAGCGTTCAACAGATGAAACTGGCGGCACTGTTGAATTCTAATGACTTGGACGAAAGTGTTAAGGATAAAAAAAACTACAATTGTTTAATGGCAGTAAAATGTTAAAATTTACCTTCGGGTATCGTGTATTTTGGTAATATAACAAGGATATATATTAATACTCTAACTGCGCCACGTTCCCCATATGTATACTCAAGAGAAAGGCGAGGCACATTCGCCTAAGTTACCAGCCATGTTTTGATCTCGTATAGCAAACTCTTCAACCTGAGATGTGCCACTCCTCAGTCTTCAAAAAACAATGTTACAACAACTGTCCTGCATACCACTTAAAAGGGACCAGGAGGTAAACACCCTGTAACACATATCACAGTAGTTACAGTAGTTACGACAACTCCACTCAAAGTAATTTTTTTAGTGGTAGGAAACGAAGAAAGAAAATGGAAAGTAATAACCAAAATAGTTCACCCTGTTGAACTGGGGGCACAGCCAGTGGCCCCTCCACTCACAACTACTGATGCCAACAACAAAATCTCCCCAAAGGGTCCTAAGAAGCAAGATCGCCACCCATCTAGATACCCATCAATTACACAACCCAGGGCAACTTGGGTTTAGAGCAGGTCGCTCCTGTCTGTCTCAGCCACTGGATCACTACGACAAGGTCCTAGATGCACTAGAAGACAAAAAGAATGCAGATGTAATATATACAGACTTTGCCAAAGCCTTCGACAAGTGTGACCATGGTGTAATAGAGCACAAAATGCGTGCTAAAGGAATAACATGAAAGTTGGTAGATGGATCTATAATTTCCTCACAAACAGAACACAAAGAGTAGTAGTCAACAGAGTCAAGTCTGAGGCGGCTACGGTGAAAAGCTCTGTTCCACAAGGCACAGTACTCGCTCCCATCTTGTCTCTCATCCTCATATCCGACATAGACAAGGATGTCAGCCACAGCACCGTGTCTTCCTTTGCAGATGACACCCGAATCTGCATGACAGTGTCTTCCATTGCAGACACTGCAAGGCTCCAGGCGGACATCAACCAAATCTTTCAGTGGGCTGCAGAAAACAATATGAAATTCAACGATGAGAAATTTCAATTACTCCGATATGGTAAACATGAGGAAATTAAAACGTCATCAGAGTACAAAACAAATTCCTTCCACAAAATAGAGCGAAAAACCAACGTCAAAGACCTGGGAGTGATCATGTCGGAGGATCTCACCTTCAAGGACCATAACATTGTATCAATCGCATCTGCTAGAAAAATGACAGGATGGATAATGAGAACCTTCAAAACTAGGGATGCCAAGCCCATGATGACACTCTTCAGGTCGCTTGTTCTACCTAGGCTGGAATATTGCTGTACACTAACAGCACCTTTCAAGGCAGGTGAAATTGCTGACCTAGAAAATGTACAGATAACCTTCACGGCGCGCATAACGGAGATAAAACACCTCAATTACTGGGAGCGCTTAAATTTCTTGAACCTGTACTCCCTGGAATGCTGGCGGGAGAGATACATGATTATATACACCTGGAAAATCCTAGAGGGACTAGTACCGAACTTGCACACGAAAATCACTCACAACGAAAGCAGAAGACTCGGCAGACGATGCAACATCCCCCAATGAAAAGCAGGGGTGTCACTAGCACGTTAAGAGACAATACAATAAGTGTCAGGGGCCCGAGACTGTTCAACTGCCTCCCACCATACATAAGGGGGATTACCAATAGACCCCTGGCTGTCTTCAAGCAGGCACTGGACAAACACCTAAAGTCGGTACCTGACCAGCCTGGCGCTGTGGCTCGTACGTTGGATTGCGTGCAGTCAGTAGTGACAGCCTGGTTGATCAGGCTCTGATCCACCAGGAGGCCTGGTCACAGACCGGGCCGCGGGGGCGTTGACCCCCGGAACTCTCTCCAGGTAAACTCCAGGTCCAGGTAAACAAACATGCAATACGACCTCATTTATATTTGCTAATATACCTTTTATCAGTGGACTTCTAGAGGAGTCAAATGCAATGTTTGCAGCCTTCACAGAGACCCACGCAAAAGATTACTTTGGCAATGAAATATGGATACCTGGGTACAACTTTTCAGATGCGACAGAAACAGGCAACAAGGGGGAGGGGGTTGACCTGTATGTCAAGGAGTTGCTCATTTGGACGGAGATACTGAACACCACAAATGATGACTCACGAAATCGTAATGACACGACTGCAAACAAATCATACCACGGACGGGATTTGAACCCGCGGTCAGAGAGTCTCAAAACTCCAGACCGTCGCGTTAGCCACTGGACCAGCTAGCTTAATAAGATTCGTCCAACTAGGTGTACTTCTACACCATAGGAAGGTTAGCATAGGCACCACTGAAGTTCTAACAATAAAAATCGAGAACCAAAATTTAGTCATTGTGCTTGTATATGAGCCACCAGATGCAACTTCCCAACAGTTCATGGAACAGGTATCGAAAATTGATTACTGTCTGGAAAACCTTTCAGCCCCATCCCCAAACATCTTGCTGCTTGGTGATTTAAATCTAAGACATACAAAATGAAAGAATGTAGCAAATAATGTTGTAGCAGAAATAATCCCTGGAGGCAGCTCAGATGAAAAGTCACATGAGCTGCTGAATTTCTGCTATAAACACACCCTAAGTCAGCAGATAGTGGAGCCAACAAGACTGGAGAACACACTTGACCTTATCTAATCGAAGTCCAGATTTACATGCACAGAGGTCCTGATCAGCAAAATGCATACAGCTATGAGGGAACCTTCACCAAATTCAACTTCGACAACAAGATCAACTGGGACCAGGTAAACTATGTCCTAAATGAAACATGTTGGGAAGATATTTTAAATTACATGGACCCTAACCAGTGCTTTGAAAAGAATAACTTTCGGTAGCTGAAGTATGTTCAAGGCATATTCCTCTAAGAAAAAAGAAGAGAAGTAAACTCGAGAGAGAGACGCTCTCTCTATAGAAGGCGAAGAATCACTGAGCTCCTCAAAAATGCTCGATTATTTGAAACACGGAAAGAAACGCTAAACAGGGTAGTGGAAAATATTGAGCTTAAGTTAAAGGACTCATACAGGATCCAAGAGAGACAAGAGGAGCTAAAAGCGATTAGTGAAATTGAAAGACATTCGAAATATTTCTTTTCATATGCCAAAAACAAGGCAAAAACTACATCTAGCATAGGGCTCCTGCTCAGACAAGACGGATCCTACACAGATGACAACAAAGAAATGAGTGAGATACTGAAATCTCAATATGACTCTGTGTTCAGCGAGCCACTAATCAATTTAAGATAGACAATCCAAATGATTTTTTCATGAATGAGCCTCATAACCCTGTCAATGCTAAATTTCTGACATAACTAACTCCACTAGACTTTGTGAAAGCCACTGACAACATGCCCATGCACTCAGCCCCAGGCCCAGACTCGTGGAACTCTGTATTCATTAAGAACTGCAAGAAATCCCTCTCACGGGCCCTAAGTATGCTATGGAGGAGCAAAGGCACAGATGATATTCCAGTCACTAAAAACAACGGATATAGCTCCCCTCCATAAAGGTGGCAGCAAAGTAATAGCTAAGAACTATAGACCAATAGCTCTAACGTCACACGTCATAAAAATCTTTGAAGAGCTCTAAGAAGCAGGATTGCAAACCACTTGGACTCCCAACAATTGCACAATCCAGGGCAAAATGGGTTCAGAGCAAGTCGCTCCTGCCTCTCGCAACTACTGGACCACTATATGGTCTTGGATGCACTGGAAAACAAAAGAATGCAAATGTAGTATACACAGATTTTGCAAAAGCCTTTAACAAGTGCGATCATGGTATAGTAGCACAAAAAAAAATGCGTACTAAAGGGATAACTGGGAAAGTAGGCAGATGATTCAACTTTCTAACCAATCGAACACAAAGACTAGTGGTAAACAGAGTTAAATAGGAAGCTGCCATAGTGAAGAGCTCTGTCCCACAGGGCACAGTACTCGCACCTATCCTGTTCCTCATTCTCACATCAGACATATACAGAGATGTAAACCATAGCGCCGTATCATCCTTTGCAGACGATACTAGGATCTGCATGACAGTGTCATCCATTGAGGACACGGCAAATCTCCAAGATATAAAACCAAGTTTTCCAATCGTCAACGGAGAACAATATGATGTTCAATGAAGACAAACTCCAACTACTCCGTTATGGAAACTTGGAGGAAATAAAAGCTAGAACTGAGTATACTACAAACTCTAATCACACAACAAAGCCGAAAAGTAATGTGAAGGACCTGGGAGTGGTAATGTCTGAGGATCTCACCTTCAAGGACCACAACAGTGTCACTTCACATCTGCGAGGAAACTGATAGGATGGATAATGAGAACATTCAAGACAAGAGATGCCAAGAAACTGATGATCCTTCTTAAATCACGTGTTCTCTCTAGGCTGGAATACTGCTATACATTAACATATCCATTCAAGGAAGGTGAAACTGCAGATCTAGAGAATGTACAAAGAACCTTTACTACACATATAAGTTCCATCAAACACCTTAACTACTAGGAACGCCTGGAAGCACTTGACTTGTACTCACTGGAGCGAAGGCGAGAGAGATATATCATAATCTACACCTAGAAGATACTGGAGGGACTGGTTCCTAATCTGCACACAGAAATCACTCCATACGAAAGCACAAGACTTG